GTTAGAATATTCAAAAATTGGTTAGCTTTCGTAATTTGATCCATATTGTATAATTGAGATCAAGAGAATAACGGAAGAATTATATTGAGAGTACTATAAATTATAATAATTAGCAATTTAAAATATTTGAAAAACATTCAAATGTGATTAACTCTCGAAATTTCACATGTGTCACATAAATTGGAACAAAGGTAGTAACATATATTATTTGAAAATTATGTTAAGAGTATTATAAATCACAACTTTGAGTATTTAAAATCATATTAAAAAGTTGATTAACTCTCAAAATTTCACATGTGCTACGTAAATTGAAACAAGGAAGTAACATATATTATTTAAAAATTAAGTACTTAAAATATTAAAATTCCACATGTGTCACATAGTCACAACTCACATAGTTCACAATAATTAACAAAATTAATTAACTCTCAAAATTCACATGTACCACAAATATAATTCAAAAAGTACGTTACAAATATTATAAATATAATTAACAATAAAAAATATTTAAAAATTTAAGTGACTCTTCTAATTATATCAGTATCATATAAATTAAAGTATAAATTTTAGGAATCACATAATTTTAATATGAAATTACAATCTATCCCTATTTAGTTTGTAATTACATTAACCCTGAAAAAGTAAAACAAACCGGATACATAATATGTAGTTCAGATACATTAAAAATTAGCTCGGATATATTATAAAATAATTTAGAATTATGAGAGAAATAAGGGATTTTAGAAGTTTTTAGAAATAGAAGGAAATATTATAAATAAGGGAAACATAAGACGTGTATTTCAGTAATTTTTCCAACTAATATATGTTGGGCCCGGACTTGCCAGAGCTTTTGTACCTAGTAGATAAATAAATGAGAAAATGATGTAGAATAACGAACATTTAGCCTATATTAGGTACTATAATTCCGCGGCTACATTTTCTCCAATTCTTATTATTCGCATGATTTGTATAATTCCATAATTTGTATAATTCAGTTCTTAATTGTATAAATTCAGAATATTGGTATATGGTTACTCTAGCTATTCGTATACAATTTATGAAAAATTCATAATTAATTACCATGTTTGTATATTGGTAAGCGAAATATACAAACAGAGTTATGAAAAAAATTCTAAATGTACAAATATAGAATTTGTATATACTTACCCTATTTGTATTTTCACAAGTGAATTATACAAACAAGTAAAAATATACAAATCACAGTCTCCATAACAAACAAAACTATAATTATAGAACGCAATTATTAAAACTATAGTTATAAAACCTTATTATGTCTATTATATAAACTTTTTGTAAATTTTTCTCTGAATAATTAGGAGATAGAGTAGTTTTTATTTCTTTTCAAACTATGGTATAAATTATTTGTATTAGTTTCCTATCTATGGAAGAAAATAAGTTATTGCATGGTTTTTCAGGATGTTGTGTGCATAAGATATTTGTCAACGGCATGTTTGATTGCAAGCTCATTCACAAATTTATGAACTTAAATGGACATTCATAAACGGTGTATATGTAATCACTTTCCTCTTGAATGTTCATTAATGGATAACATGTCTCGTTAAATCATTATTGTAATTTGGAAAGGGAGATAGATCATTTATTCATCTTAATTTCAAACTGATATATAAATAAACTGAATTGACTTTATATATTTATAGAAGAAGAAAAGACAATTATTGTGAGCCTTTTCAGATAGTTGCTTGATTGCAAACTTGCACGCCTATTCAATTGAAGGCTTATTCAAAAATTGTGTATTTTAAAAGGCATCATCAATACAATACATTTATAACATTATATAGATACAATAAAATATAGATAGTACAAGACATTTAAACTAAAAAAATCTTGTAAGAAAGTATATATGAATAGTTTCAAAAATCTCCTTCTAAATTGATTTCATAACACCAACATTCTTTGTATTTGTGATATTAAATTACATCTATATCTCTTTTATTTAAAATTTCTTTTGTTATAATTACTTTAAGCTACTTATCATCAAAGAGAAATTAATTATAATTTGACCATTGTCTTTACCAGTATTTTACTATTTAAATTAATTATTAGCAAAAAAAAAAAAAAAACTTGGCAATGTCTGTTTGTGTATTATGTTAAAAAATGTTCAAAATTATTTTTAAAAGTAATTATTCTTTTAAATTTGTATGTTAATTATTTTGGATATTGTTATAAAGTATTTATATTAATTACTCCCCTCGTTCAATAATAGTTGTTAACTATACTATTTTGGGATGTCAAACAATATTTGTCACTTTCTGAAATCAATGAATAATTTTACACTTAATTCATAATTTAATCTTGTCGTTAATTATAGTTATTTCTTTATTACATTTTTCAAGACATTATATTTATTACTAAAAAATGGTGATATAGTAAAATTACAGTGGACAAATATTGATGGACAAAAGGAATAGTAATTACTTATTAAGGAGAGTGTAAAATTTAAAGTAAACAAGTGAAAGAAAACGGCATGATTATTTATTATATTTCTTTAATGACTTTAAAATACATGCAAATGACCTTCATTTTGCCTATTTCCAGCCACATTAGATTCAGCATTTTCTTAATTTCAATCCCCAAAAATGTTCCAATGTCAGGATTTAAACTTTATGATTAAAATTTTAATCCCAAGTTTAAATAGAAAACACATCCCCTAATACACACACAATAAAAATGAAGTAAAGAAAAACAGCACACAGTATTTCTTTCTATACTAGACTAGATAAGAATAACAGCTCTTAATCCAATACACAATTAAATCAACGTCTAGATAATATCCACGTGTGAGCATCTGATTAATTCTTCAGAAAAGTTCGATCCGTGTCCCCTTTAATTGACCAATCAAAATGCAGAGAGTTGTGAAACCAGGATCGTTACTCTAATATAAATTGCGTAAGTTGCATTACAGAATGATCATAGCAAACGGTTATTGAGATATTTTTGAGGATTGTGAGAATTGAGAAGATGACGGCAATCGGAGAAGTTGAGAACCCCGCCGTTGTGCAGCCATCGACAGAGGCTGCCAAGGTTAAGGAGCAGGCTCCGGCGACGAAGAAGCCTGTTAAGGAGAAGAAACCTAGGGCTCCCAAAGAGAAGAAGCCTAAATCTGCCAAGGCTGTTACTCATCCTCCTTATTTTCAGGTATTTTTATCAATTCATCGATCTATATGGCTGTGCTTTTCATTATTATTTTGCCGATATTCATTTAACTTGCAAATTTCAACTTGATTAAGTTTTTGGTATGGAATTCTTGCAGATGATTAAGGAGGCTCTGTTGGCTCTGAACGAGAAAGGTGGATCGAGTCCGTATGCAATTGCTAAATACATGGAAGACAAACACAAGGATGAATTACCAGCAAATTTCAGGAAAATTCTAGGTCTTCAATTGAAGAATTCTGCAGCAAAGGGGAAGCTAATCAAAATCAAGGCTTCATACAAACTATCTGAGGCTGGAAAGAAGGAGACTACAACAAAAACATCTACCAAAAAGCTCCCCAAGGCCGATTCTAAGAAGAAACCTAGAAGCACCAGGGCCACTGCAACTGCAGCGAAGAAAACAGAGGTGCCGAAGAAAGCAAAAGCGACGCCAAAACCGAAGAAGGTTGGAGCCAAGAGGACAAGGAAGTCCACTCCGGCGAAGGCAAAACAGCCAAAGTCTATCAAGTCTCCTGCTGCTAAAAGGGCCAAGAAGATTGCAGTCTAAGTATGGCGGTGGGATAATACAGTGTGTATATAGGAGGAATAATGGTTTGCTTCTTGTAGTTCTGTGAATAGGAAAAATGAAGCTTAGCTTTTACTTTCAGTCATCTAGTTCGTAGACCGTAGTGTAGGTTGGATTACAACCCCTTCTTGGGTTTGCTGAAGTTTGGTTAATGAACGCTCTGTGTCTCTGCAAATTAAGGCGTTGTTCTGTTGATAATCATCCTTTTTCTGCAACATGCTTTGTTCCCAATTTGCCGAGTTACTTCTCTAATGATATCATTAATGGCGTTGTATAATCATTGGTTGATCGATGATAATCAATTGCCTGCATCACAAATACAGGATTTTGTGTGAACATTACACGAGCAATTCCATTGAAGAATGATAAAAAATATATTTAGTAACAAATTTTTCAAGTTTCATAATTGATTTATAATGTATATAATTTTTTTAAATAGAATTATTATTAAATAAATATAGATAATTCTCACATTCTGTAATTTGTATCGGTGGTAAGAGACACAAAGTCAAAAATAGTTCACCATACGAAAGCCTGTAATTCCTTTTAAGTAATTCATCATAAAATTTAGAATCCCAATTTTAAAATATTTAATTTAATTCAACGCTTATTTATGAAATGTACACAAATTTTGAACTTTAATTTCATATCCCAAAAAGTTGATCTCAAAACTTTATAAAATGTACGACTTAATCTCTAAGTTTATTTATATTGTATTCAAAAGACTCATAATTTTAAGTTTTGCTTAAAAAGTATTTATAATTAAAGTGATTAGATTATCCGTAAATACTTATATTAAATAATCACTTGTTGGAACTGTTGTTGATTTTTTGGATTAGTAATTTTTTATAAAATTATGTGTATTAGAGTTTTTTAGTAACATATAGTCACAAATAATTATTGATAAATAAAATATTGAGATGTGTGATAATTAATATAGTGTCTTAGATATTTTAATACCCTATATGAACTGTAATTTACTTATTTGTTAAGAATGTATAAGCATGGAAGAATTTTTGATAATTTTCAAATTGTGAAATTTTCGCGGATGCAAATCAAAATCGACACTTTAATTACTAATTCAAAGTTATGATTTGAAATTTGTTCAAATCGTTTTAATATTTTTGGATTGAGAAATAGTAACTTTTTTTTTATTATTATTAAAACTAAAAATTACAAAAATACTATACGTATTTCTTTTTTCCGCGTATATTTTTTCCGCGTTTATGGAAACTATAAATAAAGGTAGCCGCTCATTTTAGAACTCACAGCGCAACATAGACTACTCCGCGTCACTGCTCTCCGGTGACGATGGCCGATCAAGATCAATTTTCCGATCTTGATATTCTTCCATCCATGAAATCTCGAGAACTCGAGTTTATTGGAATTAACGCATGCTGTCCCGGTGACAATGGCCGATCAAGATCAAGAATTCTCCACTGGATTGCTGTCCCAGTGACGATTCCGATCAAAACCCTAAACCCCAAATCAATTTTAGAATTCCCGATGATTCCGGTATCCATCTATCTATTAAAAAAGAAACAAGGAAAATTCGAGAACTTAATTATCCTATTATCTTTGAATTCTTGCATACATTCCTTTTAAGAAAAAAACCAAGAAATTGTCGTCTTTTTGAAGTTAAATTGGAATTTAAAAAAAATCAAGAACTTGTTGGCTTTTTATAATTACTACATTGGTATTCTTTGAAGTTTTCAAGAATATGTTGGCATTACAAATATCAAGGATCTTCAAGAAATCTTTTCTTTTTCAAAAAAATTATGTTATTATTCTCGCCGTGTGGGTTAAGGTTGTTCAAGAATTTGTTTTTACTTTTCTAAGGGACATTAAGTGAATGCCTGAGGCTATTTCAATGTCATTATGTTGTTATCTTGTATGATTTCACAAGGATTGTTGAGGAGTTGGTTTTCAACAGCTCTATGCTGGTGCCACAAAGTTATTCTTTATGGAAAGATGTGGAGTTGTTCTTGAACCCACTCGCACAACTCTAATTATAAGAAGTTGTGATTAGTAGTATTTGTAGTATTTTGAATTAAGTAGTTTAATTATAAGACAGACAGACTTTGTAAACGCCCTCACTGACCATTTTCCTTTACATGGTATAGACTTTACATGCTGAGAACATCATAGTTAAGTGACTAACGGTGGCAAGTCGTGCTTTCATGCAGTTTTAATCATTTAGACTGCACCTGTGAATTTGTCTGTGGCTTGCACAAAAGGCAGTGACCGGTGAGAGTTTTTATTTTCAGCCTCCATTTTCTTCTGGGTTGAAACAGAGGATGGGTTTTGGGTGTTAAATCCATTTGGGTGTTCGTCTAATTGCTCAATTTTGTCTTCAGCGAAGTCATTGGAGAGGTCAAGAAGGTTATCGATGAAAAATTCATCAATAGAGGACTGGTGGTGGGTCATTTTCAAGGCCGTTTCAGGCCTGAAATAACTGTTTTTTCATGCCTTTTTGAAGCTGTCCATGCCCTGTTGAACGCCCAAAAACAGAAACGGAAAAGCATTACATAAAATGCAGAAAAATGGGTATAAAATTTCATGGATATTGTGTACTCCTAGTTTGAACTTTAACCCAGTTTCCACTTCCCACTTCCCACTTCCACCAGGTATCTGTTGTTATAGGTATTGGGACCTGCTATATTAAGGTGGATGACAATGGTAAGTATTGTAATTTCTTTGACATTAATCCAATGCGTTTTGGTGTGCAGAAAGTTCTGCTCAATTTTTTATTTTATTTCATCACCTAAAGTTGTACTTTCTTTTGAAGGATCTGGTGTCCCACAAAATGGACTGGTGCTGATGGGAGAAAGATATGGTAATCTTTTGTGCAAAATGCTGGGCTGACATCATCTTTTCTATTGTATTGATGCTGTTGTACATAATTTCTTTTGTAGATTTAAAAGCCAAATTAGATGTTCATAACTTGGAGTGGTTGTTGTAGTCTATAGGATTGCATGCATTACTCAACTGATAGGCTGTTTGACGGTTTGTGTTTGTTAGTATCTTCTTAAAGATGTTCTCTTATTTATTATTCTGTTATGCTTCCTTTTTGTCTGGCCATTTTAACTATGGTTTGGTATGCTTGCTTAACACCAGCGACATCAAAATACTGCCATTCAGATGATATGCATGCTTTCCCAACAAGCTTTGGCCTTAAAGGAGAGGCTCTAAGTTGTACTTCTGACGTTTCCTTGTTGAAAATTGTTACTAAAACTCACGGGAAGATTTTGACGGTAAAGTTCTTTTGAGTTTTAGTTGGTAGTATCCATTAGGATAGATATAAAACTACTAACTTGGTCTTTGTTCTTCCCATTGTTTATAGGGCAAGTGTTTGCACTTTGGAATTGATGATTGTAGACAAGATGTTGGTACAACATGTAGTTCTGTATGAGGCTACCTGAGACAAGAGTTGACTGCTGTTTCTAGTAAGGAAATTTGTTGGGATTTTTCTTTTTGCATTTGTTGTTCGTGATGTATTTTACAATCAGCCAGTTCGAAGGAAGCAAATGCACTCCAAGTACTTCTAGTTCTCTCACAATTCAAACGAATAAAAAATATTGATTTACATACTTTACTTCTAAAGCTGCACTCTGTCCTGATTGATCTTTTGGTTTGCATATATAGTCTGGAATCCCAAAGTGGGTGTCTTGCATTCTCTGAAAGAGTCCCTACTAAGAATCGTCCTTGTGCATCCCAACGTCTCCTGCAATTTTGTTGATATTGAAAGGTCCGTCTTTGTTATTCCAGCTAACTTAAGGATATTCCTGTCTTGTTTTTTAAGATTTTGTTCATTTGCAGTGAAGATGACCTGCTTTGCACACGTGTTTCTCCTCCTCCGTTACCGCTATTGTCCAGTGGTTTTGGATTCATCTAAGTTCCCTTATCAAATTGAATGCAAGTGATGGCTTATTCAAACTATCAGGATACATCTCAGGTCCTGATGTTTACACAGTGAAAGCTATACTATACAGGCCCAAATTGATGGATAGGAGATGTGATAAGTTATCTTTTCTACACTTTGCTTCCCTTACAACCACTATTTAATTTGCAGGTCCTTGAATATTTTTGTATCCACTTATTTCAGTATATTTTCCTGAACAAAGAAAATGGAAAACTAATCTTAGGTTAGCATTTTCTATATCGGATGCTTGTTTTTGACAGCGTTTTTGTTTTCTTTGACCCTCATAATGCAGATATCAATTCAAGATTTGTTTCCAAAGGACCAAGACATAAATTACTTAATAAGATAGCAATGACTTTTGGTAGTGCTTCTTACTATGAGCAGCGAAGTCAATCTCAGATATATCCACTGGTTTTGTTGAACCTAAACTTCCCAAGATCTTTATATGATTTGACGTTGGAGCCTTCAATGAACTCTGTGGAATTTAAGGTGAATTTTTTGTTGGCATTTATTATTTAGTTTTTTTGGGGTTGGGAAATGAGTGTGAGTCTTTGGATTTATTGTTGTAGAATTGAGTTTGTGTTGGAGATTGTTTTGTAAGACTTGGTTAGGGTTGTTTTCCATAAAAAATATTTCAAAACACCTAATCATTTTTTGAAACTTTAATGTGGGTGAGGTTAGAACTGGCTAAGCATCATTATTTTTTACTAATCGTATTGGATTTCGAAGTATTAAAAAGGCCCCCCTGACGAGCAATGCCCTTGTGTCACAGCTGTTCCCAGAGAACAAAATAATATTCCATTTGTTATCTGACAACAATGCAAAACCACGTTTCTAGCTTCTTTTGGTTGCAAAACCAAACAGGCCAATGTTAACAAGGACATGTCATACATATTTGTTTTACTGATTGGAGTGTTGTATTTCTTATTGCAATGTGTTTGCTGCTTCTAAGACTGACAATTCTTCCAACTTGAACTTAGTCTTCTGATTTTTTACTTACCCAATCATTCCTGACCTGATGTATTTAGAGTTACAGCGTCAAGTTTACCTGAATCCAATATACTCCATGTGGAGTATCAATTTACATGTAAAAATTCATTACTTAGTACCTTAGAAGTTGAATTCATAAAGTTTTAAATCTTGAATTTGCCTCATTAAACACTAACAATAAACATTTCAAGAGAGCAAGGGTTTCAGCTACAAATTAAACTTTCTCCTAAGTGAAGCTCTGCGATCTATCAAAAAGAATGGAGAAAATATAATAGATGTTAATTGCATGGTCCCTGATATTGCAGAAATGTTTTAGAGGATAAGGTACAAGAACATGGCAAAAAATGAAAGTACAGCTGATTAACATGCAAAACTTGAGCATGAGTATGAAACTGCTGCTTTGTTTGATGGGTGAGAATGTATTACAATCAATCGTTGTATGAGAGCCAGTAGTCGTCATCACTATCATATTCTTGAATGGTTACACCTTTACCTTTGTTGTTACTTTTGCCAATAGGTGTAGTAAAATCAGGTGCCGACTATCCTCCGTCGCCTTGTATAACAGTACTGGTCTCTTTTGGGGTTTAATGGTTCTTCTCTGATGAGTGATTTCATAGTAATAGGAGTTATTGACAAACTGAACATCTAATTTGCCTTTTAGATCAGTGACCTTTATCCAAATACATTCTGCACTTGAGTTTAGCTCATTGTAGTTCACGGTTACCTTGTCAATACAGATGCTGTCAAGAATTAACAACTTGTGCTTAGCTACATATTCCTCCCATCCTTTTCCTCCAAGATAGTGTCCCTCCTCATAAACGGCAGTGATCAGTGAGGCTCTTTAATAGATTCTTATGTTCATTTCTTTGCTACTTCTGATGACGAGGGCATATGCTTTATATTAAAATTGATACTATTTTTTCTCCTCTTAGCATGATTCTCAATTCTAGTAGCATAATTTTTTCTTCCAAATGAATATTCTTATAACACAACCAATATTTCTTCTCTCCATGAGATTTACTTCCTTATATGTTTGTTATTCTTATAAGTTGTGTACTCCTAGTTTGAACTTTAATCCAGTTTCCAGTTTCCACCAGGTATCTGTTGCTATAGGCATTGGGACCTGCTATATTAAGGTGGATGACAATGGTAAGTATGAGTTTCTTTGACATTGATATAATGCATTTTGATGTGCAAAAAGTTCTGCTCAATTTTATTATTTTGCTTCATCACATAAAGTTGTACTTTCTTTTGGGATCTGGTGTCTCACGAGATGGACTGGTGCTGCTGATGGGAGAAAGATATGGTAATCTTTTTGCAAAATGTAGTGACAGTTTGTTTTCTTTAATATCCTTTTACAGATGTTGTTTTATTTATTATTTTGTGGTTGTACTTGTCTGACCATTTTAACTATGGTTGTCTGCTAGCTTTACATCAGCGACATCAAAATACAGCCATTTCAGATGATATGCATGCTTTCCCAGCAAGCTTTGGCTTTAAAGGAGAGGCTCTGAGCTCTATTTCTGATGTTTATTTGTTGGAATTGTTACCAAAACTCATGAGAGGCCAAATGGATATCGTAAGGTTTTGAAGGTTAAGTTTTTTAGAGTTTTAGTAAGTATAGTATCCATTAGGATGGGTATAAAATTACTAACCTGGTCTTTGTTCTGGCCATTGTTTACAGGACGGCAAGGGTTTTTGTACCTTGGAATTGATGAGTGTAGACAAGATGATTGTACAACATGTAATTATGTATAACCCTACCTGATACATGAGTTGACTGCTGTTTCCTAATAAGGAAATTTCTTGGTTTTTTTCCTTTTTGAAGTAATTTTTTGTGATGTATTTTGCAACTAACCAGCTCGAAGGAAGCAATTGCACTCCAAGTACTTTTAGTGCCGTTTGGATTAGCTTTTTTTAGGCGCTTTTGACTTTTAAGCACTTTTTTATTTTTGGAGGTGTTTGGAAAGGTTAAGAAGTGCTTTTAAGCACTCACTTTTAGGCCAAAAAGTTTAAAAATTAGTCAAAAGCCAAAAGTAGGGTATCCTCTACTTTTGACCGATAAATTACTTTTTATAAGCCCATATAATCTTTTGGTTTGCATATATAATCTTGAAGTCCAAATAGGGTCTTGCATTCTCCGAAAGAGTCTCTGCTAAGAATTTCCCTTGCGCGTCGAGTGTCTCCTTCAAAATTGTTGATATTGAAAGGTCCATCTTTGATACAGTAGCTAACTTAAGGATATTTCCTGTCTGGTTTCTTAGATTTTGTTCATTTGCATGCACTGAAGATGACCTGCTTTGCAGATGTGCTTCTCCTTCTCCTTGCTGCTGTTGTCCAGTGGGTTTGGGATTCATCTGAGTTCCCTTAACAAAAGCGTTGGTGCATTCAAGCTTTTAGGATATATCTCTGGTCCTGATGTTTACACAGTGAAGACAGTGAAGGTATACATGCCCAAATTGATGGATAAAGAGATGTGATGAACCATCTTTTCTACACTGTTGTTCCTCTCTGATTTTCTTGAAATTCCTAATAGAAACTTTTTGCATACATCGGTCACGGTTGTTAATAAGTTTGTGATATTTTTTCCATTGCACCACGAGAAGAATATTTGTCTATTCACAATCATGGGATGTATATTTTTTTTTTATAACCGAGAAATCCGTCTATGACCCACCCTTTGGACCAATCACAACATTCTAAACTCGGTGGATAATGGGCCTGCCCCTTTACCCTTCTCCACTTAAAAAACGGGCTTCACTTTGCATGGTGTGGGGATTCAACATGTAACCTAAGCCACAAATCCTCCACCTTTTGCCACTCGAGCTAGGTCTTGGGGGCAATCATGGGATGTATATTGTTTCTTTAAGTATCAGTTTTGTGTTGTACTATCCCGAGGCTTTGGTTAGTGATGAGGACTCAAAACGGGATTGTGAACATGTCACAAGGTTGTTGGTGTCGAAAGAAGTGGTCACATCTGTTCAGCCATCCCAAAGGGTCCCCTTGGCCAGTAAACCGTGGAAAATCCAACTTTGTATACCTAAGAATGATGGAACTTCCTCCTGTATCTGATTTTGACCCTTCTGCCACTTCACTTTTACCTTTCCAACTTCGATTCTGATTGGTATGTTCAATTGATTCAGAATCAACCTTCGAATTCGCTAGATCCTTTGCGAGTGCATCTAAGCGGGCATTTATTGCTTCCCGTCTCGCTATATTGGCTGCACGTTTCTCTTGAAATAAGTTCACCAATTGTGCCAGTTGATGTTGAATTTGATCTCCCATAACACCCGTCTCATAACACCCGTCTCTGATACCAAGTTGTTATGGCCCCTGATATGGATCTGGTTATGGGGCGTTGTAGTGTGAAATCGAATATTTTCTTCCTATGACCTATGGTGATGGTTCATTAAGAGAGAACCTGCAATCTCGAGTTTGAAGTACTCAAAGATTTGGTAATTTCTGCATAACATTGTACTACATTTCACTGAATTCAAATACATTAAATACAACACTGAAAACAAGGAAAATAATTGCCTACTGCCTACTACATTTGCCTATTGCCTACTACCTACTACAACTGAATGAGAAAGTGGAGGAATAACCTCCTTACTGCATCAACTGCTACACAGAAAATGAAAACATAAATACTTAAAAGCTGTAGTAATCTACTGCGAACAACTAATTAACTTATAAGCTAAAGTAATCAGTGCTTTCTCTGCTCCGTGTATACACAATGAAGATTAGGAGGTTTTCATCCATCAATGTTCAATCAAACATGTTGCCTGTCGAGTTAAAGAATTGTTGCTTGGCACGGTACTTCATGGGTCTATAAGATTTTGTGAAAAGTTTCCTAGGCAAACTGCTGCTTGCAGCCATGTTGGGTTTCAAAGATTTCGAGCTAACGTGTTTGGGCTTCGCAAAGTTCATTCTTTTGGGTTGGTAAATCATCCATTTAGTGAAACTACCCGACCTTTTACTTTTCTTGTTCTTATTACTCACTCTTGTAAAATTCAACAAAAGCAATTTAACATTTTCTCTCTTGAGCTGAAAAATTGTTGCTTGGCATTGCACTTCAGGTGGACATATGAGATTTAGGAGTAAGTTCCATTTCATGGTGCATCTTCTCTGTCTCATAAGGCTAACTGATGCTTACAGCCACGACATATTTCATAGCTTTCGAGTTGATTCGTGTTTTGGCTTGGCAAAGTTCAGTTTCCTTTTCCTCTCCCCAAACCACACTTTTGTGAAACTTCACATGACCTCCTCTTTTCTTATTCTTATTACTCTTTTTCGCTCCATTTATAAACCATGAGGAAGTGGAGGTTTTGTCTTCCGTGGAAATTAGTAGAACTTGTTTTCTCTCGAGCTGAATAAACTGTTGCTTGGCACGACACTTCAAGTGGTTCTATGAAATTTTGAAATTAAATTTCCATTTCATGGTGTTTCTTCTCCATCTCATACGACTACCTGATGCTTGTAGCCACGACTGATTTCAATGCTTTTGAGCTAACTGTGTTTTTGCCTCGCAAAGTTCAATTTTTTTTCTTGCCAAACCACCCTTTTGGTGAATTTACACTTTACTTTTCATTTTTCTTATTTTTAGTACTCTTTCTGGTATAACTCAAAATGGCAATCAAACATGTTATCTCTTGAGCTGAAAACAGTTGCTTGGCATGGCATCACGTGGGTCTGTCAGATTTTGGATAAAGTTCAATTTCTTGGTGTTTTTTCTCTATATCACAAGGCTAACTAGTGCTTGCAGCCATGACTGGTTTCTAAGCTTTTGACAGGTTACATGTGTACTCCCTCTATTTTTTTTTCCTAGTACTCACTCTGCTCTGTTTTATTTACAATGAAGATTTGAAGGTTTTCATCCATCGATGTTCAATCAAACATGTTACCTGTTGAGCTAAAGAACTGTTGATTGGCACGGTGATTCAGGTGGGTCTAATCAGATTTTGTGTGAAGTTCCATTTTTTGGTCTTTCTTCTCTCTCATTGGCAAATTGATGCTTGCAGCCATGCTGGGTTTCAAACCATTTATGCGGGAGCTTTTCTATTGCACAGAAGCCTGATTTATGATGGATCATCTTTTGATAGTGATGAAGATATTAAGTTTGAAAAAAGTAACTGCAGAAATAAACAAAATGGCCTTGAAGATGATTTAGAGTGTTGAATTTGAAGTAGCAGCAACCATGTCTTAAATCATAGGTCTCCTAGAGGCATGGAAATGGAAATATATTTTGAGAAACATCTCCAGGTGTAAAACTCAGAGCATGCAAGGTTAAAAAATTTATCAGGTCAGAAAAATCTTATGGATTCTGTTAAACAGACAGAAAATTATGGTATCTTTTAGTCCAGTCTCCTCTGCCACCAGATCCTTTGCTCGGGACCAGGTTTCAAGATGTTAATCCTTACTTGGGATTGAAACTTCTCTTAAACATGAAGTTGTCAGTATAAGTTTTGAAACGTGGAACATAATCTCTTGTACCCAAATCCTGCATAGTTTGATGTAATTGTTAATGCTCTTTTTAGAGAGGATATGATGATAGTTCAGGTACTTTTGAATTCTATAATCTTAAGAATTACGTGATCCATACTTTTGAATTCCTAATAAAAATATTACAGTACCAGTATTTTTATTTCCTTTTTTATAAACATATTCTATTCCTAATAAAAATATCGCTATTTAAGAATTCATTTTTTGTTTCTTTTCTTTTAAAAATCTCTTTGAACAATAAATGAGTAGGAAATTATTCTTTTTTCCTGGTGTGCATCTGTCGGTTTAGTTCGGTTTTATGTATTATCGGTTCGGTTTATTGGTTTTCGGTTTTTAAATACGAAATATATGTTACTGTTTCTGTTTTAATTTATGTGGTACATATGAAATTTGAAGTTAATCAATTTTTTAGTATGTTTTTATATATTTTATGTTGCTAATTATTTGTATTTAGAGTATGTTTTACGTAAATATATTAGAAATCACAATAATTAACAAGTTAATATAAAAAAAAATTATAAAAAATTCATTGACTTTTGAAATTTCATTTGTATCACATAAATCAGGACCGAGTAATATATATGAAAATTACATAAAACGTACTATAACTCACAATAATTAGCAACTTAAAATATCTATATATCTATATTTCTCCCAATTTATGCGGCATAGATGAAATTTTGAAAGTTAACAAAAACTGTTTATATGTTTTGAAATATTTTAAGCTATTAATTATTATGATTTATAATACTTTTTACATAAAAAAATTATTTATATAAAGTATAAAAGAGAAAATTTAGAAAAAGGAAACATAAATGTCAGCAGGAGTCCAATCTATGTTAATTTATATGTTTTAATTATTGTAATACCGATTGAATTTGGAGAGCCAACTAAAAAATTTTAAAGGTTTTTTTTTATAAATTTTAAGTTGTTAATTATTATAATTTATAATATTTTTATTAATTTTAAACCAATATATGTTTTTCTCTGTCTCAATTACATGAGACATATGGAATTCAGAGAGTCAACTAAAATTTTAAAATATGTTAAGTTGTTAATTATTATACCTTATAGTACTATTACGTGATTTTCAAATAAAATATGTATTTTTTAATTTCAATTTATATGTCATTGATATAATTACATATATTAAGTAATGAAGAATTAATGTGTAAATTATGTGACACCTATGAATTTTGGAGTGTAAATCAAATTAGTTATATGATTTAAAATAAAAGCGGTTAATTATTACAATTTATAATACTTTTATATATTTTTTAAATGATATTGATATTAGTATTATAATAAATTAAATTTTATTATTTTAAATTTATGATCTCAATTGTCAGCCTATGCCACATTATAAAATGTTCCAAAGTAGATATCAGATTTACAAAAATGTCGATGTCAGCTACAGTAATAAAATAACCTCTAAGGGCCTGAACCTATATATGTTTATATAAAGCTGAATATTGACAATTTGATGTGGCATCTCTCTATGACCAGTATTTGTATTCATCTTTTTTTTCCTTTTTTTGACATTTTATCTTTGTTTTGTATTTTTTATTTGTAATTTTTTTAAAAAGTATTTATGTCATACCCGATTAATTATGCCCTTTATAACATCCATTACACTAATATAGATTTAAGTAAATGAAAATGGAAGATGAAAAGATAAAAACTATTCATTTTTTATAACTGTTTATAATTATTTAGCCTATAAAAAAAA